CTCTCTGTTACCAGATCAGCGGTCTCAATATTGCAGTGCTTCAAGTAACTCTTATTTTACTTAATAATGTCTCCCTCACGTCACTGCATCTCATCGCGTAGATGTTTTATCTCACATCACAAGAAGGAGGCCGAGTACAATAAGCTGTTTGAGAGAGGGGGGCCGTGTTCACATAACTTTTATCACAGTATGTTGTAACTGTTCTATTATTGTTGTTAATTTCTTACTGTGCCAAATTGATAAGTTAAACTTTATCATATGTATATGTGTGTATAGGGAAAAAAAACAGTGTGTATAGGGTTCAGCACAATACACAATTTCAAGCATCCACGGGAAGTCTTGGAATGTATCCCTGCAAATGAGGGGAGACTGCTGTGGTTTTGTATTTTATAATTGTAATAAACTTTATAGTAATGAGAGGAGTCTAGCAAGTTATTTATGTTCTAGACAAGTGCTGCCCAATAGACTTTTAGACTTTTTAAGGTGATGGAAATATTCCATCCCCATTCCATAGAGTAGCCCTTTCTGTGTCTACTCGATCTCTTGAAATGTGGCTTGTGCAACTGGGGGAGTGAGTTTTTATTGTATTTAATGACCATGTTTTCTGAGCATAAGATGCACCTAGGTTTTAGAGGAAGAAAATAGGAAAACAAATTTTGAAGCAAAAAATGTGGTAAAATATTTAATGACATAAATAACATAATATTTCACCAATGGAAATGTAAACAGAATTCAACAGCAGCATTAACAACCATTATTCCTCCCAAATTTGGGGAGGGGGAGCAGAGTGCATCTTATAGTCCAAAAATGGGTAAATTCTCATGTGTGCTAGTGGTCACTGAGCTGGAGAGCATAGTTCAACATGTTTCAGTATTGACATACCTACTTGGATGTCTCCAAGTTAACAAGGTCAAATCAGAATTCTTTATTTTCTTTCCTCTGTCAACCTATTTCTCCCCCAACAAAGCCATCATTGACCCAGTAGCTTGAGCCAAAACCTACGTGTCGTCTTGACCTCTTCCTCTCCCTCATCTTCCATATCTGCTTAGCAGCAGGTCCTGGTTGTTTTATCTCCAGAACCTATACTGAGTTCATCCACTTCTCTCCATCTCCGCTGGTGAGCCAAGTTCATCATATCTCACCTGAGCAATTGAATGGCCTCATAATTGGTCACCATTGATTCATTCATCCACTGTTGCTTCTTCCAGACTCATCCATACAGCTACCAAAAAGACACTATTAAACACTTAATGTTTACAGCCATACCACCCTGACCACGCCCGATCTTGTCATAAACACTTAAGCAGGTCCCTCACTCCCCGCTTGTATGGAAACATTTGTAGAATATATCACGGTTTGAAATTCTCTTTCTTACTTCTGTGTGAACTCATTTTTGGTCTCCCATTACAACAGGAGGTCCCCTCCACCAGGAACCTCGTCTACCTCCTTCACTGCCACCTCTGTACCACCTATGACTCTGCCCAGCACACAGAAGTGCACTCAGTAAACCTCTCAATAACAATTGAATTAAAGTTTAGTGTGAAAGGAGATGAGATAGCAAGAGTCAAAATATGATTTATAATTTAGTTGCTAATAGCTGAGGTGGTGCTGACACCCATATATGTGGGGAATTGATGGTTTCTTTTGCATTCTGGATGCGGTAGGAAGGGTGGGCATCCTGGCTAATTGCATTTAGCTGTCAGTGGGTAGGCTGGTCCACAGCCCTGATGTAATCTCTGATGTACAGCTTTTCTCTGAAAAGAAAGAGCTCTTTTTCTCCCTAGTGCTCTGTGTATGTCCCAGATCTCGAAACTTGTGTCTTTCCCACTGTTAAAGAAAGAAGAGCGGAGCTCTATTCATCCAAGGGAAGTTCCGATAGTAATGGAAAGAAACATATCGTGGAACTCCAGTGGAGTGAATGGCAAAGTCATTCAGCAACAGGAGATTCTCAATATGAGACTGTTGTTTAAAAAAAGTATTTCAAATATGCTCATATTGAGTTATTTGAAACCAAGAAAACCTTAGGGAACAGGCTATTGTGTCCTTTTTTTGACTTCTGCATTTTTTAAAGGAATGTATCTTTCTAGCATTCCTTTATAATAGCCAGCAAGGCTTTCAGAAGGCCTGTTATTACTTAGATCCATCGGTCCATGTACAAAGTTAAATGAAGCTGATGTAGTAGCTGGAGATATGATCAGGTCGGCCAAGCTCTGAGCTGTGTTTGCTTCCTCTAGTACTGAACAGGCACTGGCTGGATTCAGAAGATGACGTTAAAGCTTGCTTTCTTAAAGTACCTATTCAGAGACTCTATCCCAGTGGGTTTTCATCAGGCACAAGTTTATACTTTTGTCCCCATCCCTCCAGTGCCGTCCCAGCATTTCCCTATGTGTGCCTGTACTGAACAGCTTGCTAGGTCCTGGAAAGATTAAAATGAGTTAGACATAGTCTCAACTTTCAGAGACTCTGCAAACAAGTGGGCAGCAAGACCAGTAAATGAAAAGCGGAAACACAGAAACCTTTGGCAGTAACAGAGGGCAGTGCAGTGAACACGAGGGTGAAAGGCAGAGGGAGGCAGGCGTGCTGCGGCGGTTAAGAGTGCAGGCTCTGGATCCAGATTGTCCGGGCTCACGGTCTGGCTCTACAACTTAGAAGTTGTGTGACCTTAGGCTGCTAACAACGTCTGTGCCTCAGTTTGCTCACCTGTTAAGTGGGGTAATTGAAGAACCTCCCCCATATGGTCACCAAGAGGATTTAAAAAGGACACAAAGCACTGGGAACAGTGCCTGGCATGGAGCGCCACAAAAACCAGCCTTTATTATTACCAGTAGTCATAGTACATAATTATTGGTTGAATTGAATGAATACTACTATTACTGCGGAGAAACTGTCCCTAAGTCAGCCAAGGAAGTTCACACAAGCTTCCCAGAGGAGGTGACTTTTGCACCGAGATTTGAAGATAGGCTGATCTTGTAGGGAAAGGACACGTTGGATAGAAAGAACAGAATCTGCAGAGCCGTGGTGGAGTGAGACAGCGTGGTGTGATGGGGGCCTGTAAATGAGTCTGGGGGGTAGAGCACGAGATGCCTAGGACAGCACACCCAGGGAGGGAGGCAGGCATGAGGTCACCGGAGCTTTGGAGACCGGGCTAAGGAACTTGGACTTGGTCCTAAAACCAAGAGGAAGCACTGAAGAACTTCAGTAAGTTCTATGCTCAGCATGCAAGACTGGGCAGCAGCGTCCCCCGCTGGCCTCAGCCTGGGGCCTGTGCATTGTGTCGCTGACCTGCCTCCTTCCCTAGGATTTGAATGGGGGTTTGCAAGTGTGGGTCTGATGTTCTCCCCTAGATGCGATTTCCTTTGTGGAGCACAGATTAATAAAGTGGAAAGGGTGTGTTTTCTGGATTTCTTTCTACCCGATTCTTCCTCTTACTACTACTCCTTACTCCTGCTAACAGAGAGAGGTGGCAGACCTCTCTGTCTCTCTCTTAGGAGTTGTAGTAAGGTCTTCTCGAAGACCCCTTGGAGAATCAGATGAAAGTGACTGATCCTTCTCTCAGAAAAATTTTTAATTCAAGATTTTCCAGAGACCCCACATTTACCTCCCCCTGCCCTGCAATGTGGTCATCCAAACAGGCACCCAATGTCATCTTTGACCCCAGGCCTGCTTGTGCTTTTCGTGTTCTTACCCCTAATTTTTTTTAAGTTGACTTGCTGGCACATCCACTCTTCCATCTGCATAGGAGCAACCCAGGATCACTTGGAGGTTGTAATTAAAACTGAAAGCAATTATCTTATCTTGCGCCGTTCAAGTGTAAGTGAGAGTATAGTGGCTAAGGACTTGGGCTCAAGGGGGCAGACTCTGTAGATTAGAACCCCAGCTCTGTCTCTGTCTGACACATATAATAAGTTACATAACCTCTCTGTGCCGTGATTTCCTCATGACAAACTGGGAATGATACCATGCTTACCTCATGAAGTTACTGTGAGGATTAATTGAGGTAACATAGGAACATGCCAGGAATAGTTCCTGGCAGGCAGTTAAGTGCTATATAAGTATTTGCTATTATTTCATTGTTGTTTATACTAAAATGATATCATGAATGGAGTAATGATTACTAGGAGCAGGAAAATAGATGAATAAAATGTCCATATGCCATTGACTCACTTTGGAACCTTGCCAAAGTGAAGGCCCAGAATAGATTCTCTAGACCTGTGTGGTCCAGTGTGGTTGAAAAAGTCACTGACCACTGTGATCGCTGACAACTTGACATGTGACGAGCTTGAGCTGAGATGTACTGGGTCTTAAAGATTTAGTGTGGGGAAAAAAAGTGAAATGTTTCATTAGTAATTTTTATATTAGTTATGATAAAGCAATATTTAGAATAAATTAGGTTATATCAAATCTATTATTGAAATTAATTTTGTCTGTTTCTTTTGCTTGTTTAATGTGACTGCTAGAAAATAGAAAGGCATAATATGGCTTGTGTTACGTTTCTGTTGAACAGCACTGCCTTGGGCTCATCATTATCAGTAAAACAAAAATTTGTGGTTGCGATAGGTGGCCACTATAGGAGAGCCTTGTATACACCTTCAGTTGCCATTCAGGTTACACTGGGCCCTGGACCAGCTGTTTTTTCACCGGTTCCACAAAGGGAGCCATGCCACAGTCCCAGCAGAAGGGGGTTGAGGGGCCAAGGCCAGAACAACGACTAGGGAGGCTTCTGCTGACTTGGAGGGGTTTGGATGAAAACACTACCATTTATAGTTATACTGGGCTCAGCCTTTCAGCACTCCCTGAAGTAGATGAGAGAATGCTCTCTATTCAGGAAGTTGAAATATGTAGGCGAAAAACTCTCCCTATTCCATCAGGAGCCAGAAAAAGCTTTGCTAATCTTTAACTAAAAGAATAACACTTAACATTATGTCAGTCACTTGGGTTTAAAAGCACACCCCTTCCAAATGTGATTTACTTATGAAATGTTTTGTTCAATTCTATTTCAGATTCATTCCCCTCGCTGGAAACCTGAAAACAGCCACACAAAGTCTTGCTGGTAAGTTCTCTTTCACTTTTAAAACAAAGTGACTCTTTGACATTATTTTTGAAATGATACTCATGCTTCTAAGTTAGATGCATCTCTACCAGTACTATGATTAGAGGTCTATTTATTCACACTTTTTTTTCCTCTCTGAAATGATTTAAAATGTTTCTGTGCCTTAAAAAAATAAAAGATCAATCCATGTTCTTTTGCTAAGAACATGGTCGGGGAACAGATCTATAATCATATGCCAAATACTATTAAAATAAAATGGTTTAGTGGAATTTTTTTTTGTATTGAAACTATTTCCAAGCCCCAGTTGATGGTCTGCTAGTGTTTCAAGTGGTGTCCACAACAATGAAGTGTCACTTCAGCCAAGGTATGCAGACCGTCCCTTACAGTGTGTTGTAATAAAAGTTGGCTCACAGTTGTGACATATTAGCTTTCTTATTGCTCTATTTTTTTTCTTCCCTCCTTGAACCTGAATGTGATTGTTATAGATAATAGTTCTGCGCGGGAAGAAAACTACTTTTAGAGCTAGGAAAGTAATATATTTTTTGACCTAAAAAGCTTCTGGGGCATTTGTGTGACATCACTCCCTGATACTGTGGTGATATTGTATTTGCAGTGTGTAGCAGATAGCTGTTGCTGCATAACAAACCATTCCCAAATTTACAGCCAGAAATTTGAGCTAAGATTTACTGACTCAAAAGAAACAGTCATTTTTTCATCCCACAGTTCCAGGGGTTGCTGATTTGGGCTGGCTTCAGCCCTGTGATTCTAGATCAGGTGGGACTATCTCATGTGTCTGCAGTCAGCTCCAGGGCCAGGTCAGCTTTGTTTCTGGAAGTCACCTGCCTCTTGGCCGGAGGGATGACAATGACTAAGGCATATGTCTCACCTTCCTTCAGGCTATCCTGAGCTTATTCACATGGGGGCTGGGCAGGGTACTAAGAGGGAACAGAAGTGTTGTGAGGTCAATTCTCAGAACTGTCATGTCACAACATTGCTTCCATCACATTCTGTTGGCTAAAGCAAGCTATATGACTAGCCTAGATTCAGGAGGTTACAGAAATAGATTCTACCTCTTAGTGAGAGGGGCTGCAGAATTACATTACAAGGAGCATGGAGACAGAGAGGGAAAGAGCTGTGGCCATTTTTGCAGTCTACCGGGCATTGTTTGAGAGTCATATGGAAACAGCTGTGATCGAATGAAAACACATGGAGAGTGAGAGGACTCAGATCATGCTCCCATCTCATAGCACATCCTTTCATCCCATTTTGATTGACAAGCCCCAGCATCCTGGTCTTACTCTCCAACATCTGCCATCCAGATCAGTTCGGTAGGCGCCTAAGTAGTCCTTCTAATACCACTCTCTAACCTTCCCTTTGTGGTACACAGCACAGCCACACTAGGTGTCCTTATATTTATCTCTCAGGATGTTACTTATTTGCTCAAAAACTGTTAGTACCTCCACATCACCCAGAATGCCAACCCAGACTCCTCTCTGCCTTCTCTATTTCCATTATCGGGCCCCATTCTCTCTTGCTTACCTTCCACTATTCCTTTTATTCTAGCAAGACTAGGCTGTCTACCATGTGTGTAGGGGGGATAAATAACAACAACAATAGTCATACTGAGTGTTTTCATTTTATTGACTGCTGACTGTGTGCTAGATGTTTTACATAGAATTATTTGAGATTTACAAGAAGATTCCTCTGTGCCGTTGCATCTGTACGATACTTACCTGGTTAAAATATACTCACACCTGAGAGAGGACATACTTGGTTAAGCTTCTGTGAACCATTGACAACTTATTGATACCAAGTACAAGGTTTTATAGAAGTGTGAGCTGCTTTGATTTGGTGGGAGAAGTTGCGGGTAGAAGAGCAATCAACAGTACTAAAAAGAGAGTGGGTGTGGGCTGCACAGGAATAGACCGAATAGACCAAATAGACCAGAGGACACCCAGCAGCCCGGGGCAGGATGGAGTGGGGGAAGACACTCTCGAGGAGGGCAGGAAGCTTAGGGGGAGACTGAGACCTTGCTGACTTGATGGTTTGGCCCAGGGCTTTTCCTACCCAAGGCCACTGCCTTAACCTGCTCCCCTGGAGCTTCCCTACAACAGCAGGCAGTGTTTGTGAGAGCTTTCTCCAGTCACCACCCAGATTTTTTTTTGCATTTTTGGATTGCTATTGATCTGCCTTTCCTTTCAAAGATTTTTGAGGTGGCTTTTGGATATACATAATATAAAGAGATTTAGACAAATATGAAAGGAGAGAAGTTTCTGGAGAAATTTGCTAGCAGGTCCCACACTCATGTCTCTGAGCTTCTGAGCATTGAGTGTCACAGTGGATGGGACACAGAGGCATACTCATTACTCAGAAGAAGCAAAGTTCCTGTGGTTCAGTTAGTTCTGCTCTTGCTTTCCGGTAATTTCCAGTCCTGGGGACAAGCTCCAAGAGTGAAACGGCAGTTTAACAAGGCCACGGGCCTGCTCCACAAACGGCGCCACGACAGCAAATGGCCATGACTTTGTCCTCTCATTCCCCCCTCTGGTTTTAAAATGGATTTATTCTTAGTGACCTGGCCCACGTCTGGTTGTGGGGAGTAGGGACGAAGGTCTCTTCTTCTGTGGCTACTTTAGTCGCACTAGGGCTGTAGAGCTGTCCCTGCCTGTGGGTGCGAGTGTGGGCTATCAAAGGGAAGAGGGTGGGATTGGACCGCCCCAAAGGTGAGAGCTGTGGCTGGAGGCCATCTGTGGAGGGCATCTCCCAGAGCCTGGATGCTCTGTTGAATGAACAAAGGATGTGAGATATTTGTAGAGACATGGCCTAAAAAGAAGGATAAAGGGAAAAAACTGCTATAGGTTTGGGAAGGGAATTAGCTGGGAAAGCCAGGACCAGATATTGGCCTTTAAGTCCTAAAAAGGGAGAGGCAGAGTAGTAGGTAAATTCTGTATAGCTGACACTGCACTGGTGTGTTTCAGTCGTTCCCAGTAAGGGATGAAAGGGGGGAAAATGAAACACTAGCTTAGAAGGAAAACTAGAATAACTAGGATTCAATCAGTTTCTGGGTTACAATTGGACTCTGTGATTTCCATTGAAACACAGTTTCTCTCCCTAAAATCACCCTCATTTTATCAAACAGACTGCATTAAGTCCAGTTTCGATTTGGCCTGATTATTTGCCTGAAGACAACAAGAATAGTAATTGATCACATAGGCTCTTTCAAATCTGCTTTGCTGGAATTTTACAAGGAACCTTCAGCTTGAGCTTTAGTCAGCCGCTCAAGGCAAAGAAGCCAGCCACACAGTTGCCATTTGGCTTTGCCTGAAATACCTGTTGGTTTGACTGGGTTCCTCAGGTTTTTGAGGTCCCCAAAATGTCTTGAGATTCCTGCCTTGCCATCTTTCAGGAAGGCAACCTTCGTTCCTTACCTGGAGAGAAGACTGCCAGGAAGCACGTGGCCAAGCAAGGGACCAGGCCTTTCTCCAGGGGGTGCTTCTTGGCTTCGAAAGTCCATCTTAGTTCCTTACAGCTTTCTGGTGACATCCAGAGTCCAGGCATGACTCTCGATCACCACATCCCAGACAAGCCTTGGTTAATAAAGCCACATTTGGAAACTGGTGCTGTTATAAAGAGAACAGGCTTGTACTAGGTTTATGCAAACAAATATACTGCCACAAAAATAATACTTGGCCAAATTCTGGAGGGATTGGGTTGGGAGAAAAATATAAATGTTTCCATATTGCTTATGAAGGTATAATTTATAAATTGTTCTGGGGGGGGAAGTTTCTTTATATCTAGAAAACAAAAAGATCTAAAATTAGCAATATTTTGAACAAAGTCATAAGGAGAACAGTCATCTTTGGTTCATTTAGTCCCATGTAACCAATTTTGTTTGTCTTGATTATTTGCCAGTATTTCCATGAATTCAGTTGTTCTGAGGGTTCTATAAATCTTTATTTACTTCAGAGATAGGACCTACAGAGAGACCTGTAATTTAGAGTAAGTCAGAGTCCTTTTCATGGACCTATCCAAAGACACATTTGCAAATGCATTAGAGTAAAACAGTGACTGTTTCTAAATGACCAAACTTAAAATGACATGGTTGTAGATTCGATTAAAACGCAATTGATAAAGAACTTTGCTTCTTTGTAAAATATAATATTTCAAGACAATTTCTTGATAAGTCATAATTACCATGGAGTGACATAAAAGAACAATATAAATCCCGTATTTTTAGATTCCACACACATTTTAACATATATATAAAGACTTAACAGTATGCAAGGTTTTAAAACGCTGTACAGGACTTAAACGGGAAGTGTGCACTGAGCACTGGAAACCGTTTGTACGTTCCCAGTGTGTGGGACGCAGACACCCTGAGCACCACCGCATGGTGTCCCCACAGGGAACACTCTTGGCTTGTCCAGTGTCACTGACAGGACACCAGTTACCCCTGAGAATTTCCTGTTTGAACTTGACTTTGAGTTTTTGCAAGTTCCTTCCTGAGGCAGGTTGAAATTTCTAGAAAATCTATTTTGATAAAAATAGATGTATACAGGTAAAAGCAGTCATTAATATTCAGTTTGGCAAAGCTTCCCATGTGATTTTGAGTATATTAAGTAGGTCTAATTTATTCAAAAACTTTTATAAGGAGAGAGAATACATTCTCGAGGTATTCTAGGGTCCCATTGGAATAACTCAAAGCCATTTCTCACTTTTTAAAATTTAAACTTTGGGAAGGTTGTCAAATATTCTTAACCAAAAGATTGTAACATACACTTTTTTGTAAAACACTTTTCTTTTGTTTTACAAAGCCAGTTTTAATATCAAATATCTTGTCCAGATCATAGGATCCTGCTTAATTTATGTAAGTACTTAATATTTTTAGGCCAATAAAATACTGCACCCTAGTGATGCCATCTGGAGGCAGAGAATGCACAACATGTAACACACAGACAAATGCGTATCACGTAAAAGACCACACACCTGAAGACTGACCACGG